ATGTTAGGAAAAAATATATATCATCTATATTATTCACGTTGTCTGCAAACTCAGCCACACAGTCATGGCAAGGATAGTTTTGGAAGGGGGAGCTGGCTGTGCTGGACAGATTAACAGAATGTCAACACTGGCAGTTAGGTTGTGAGACCAGTAGAAGATTTAATCCTGAAAGGAACTATAATTACTTGTCTAAAATTATTTAAATATAAAGTTTAGAGAGCATGACAAGTTTTTTCCCAAGTTCAGTAGTACACATCTGTGCCTCCAGTTACACTTATGAGCACAGACCCAGCAGGTATCTATTGCTGAATTGCCTTTAACTTTCAGAGGAAAAAATATATTCTTGTAAACATTGTTAATAATTAATACTAAAATCTTTTAGAAGAAACGGTAAATTCGGGATTTATATCTGCCCTTAGCAATTTGAGGTTGGAATGAGTCCTGATGTGCAAAACAAACTCCCTTGTGTTGTTGTGGAGCATCTGCTGCTGCATCGTGGAGCCAAGTTCTGGGACTAAACATATGTTGGGTATAATAGAGCATGACACTTGCAGACCAGGCTGTGATTCTGTGGGGGTGTAATAACACTGAGTTAAACTAAATGAGTTGCTAATAAGTTGTGTCTGAATTTCTTTTATTTTCCTTTTATTCCCTTTTTTTTTTAGCAAATAATTAGATTTGATTTTTGAGAGGAGATTTAACTTTTTTTTTTAATTTTAATGAACTATGCATTTATTTAGTGTATTTCAGGTTAAAAAAATTAGATTTCATTGGTAATTTGCTGCTGGGGCGAGGACTGACTTTTCTGGAGTGAAAGAGGATTTGCTATGATTTAGTGTTTCTTGGGTCTGTTGCACTTCAGCATGTGAGGAAGCAGAAGCTGTTCAACCTTGGTTTTTTTGCAGTGACTTTGGAATCCCCTGGAGCAGCCCTTCTATGCAGCGGGGGCTGTTATGAAAGTCAAGTCAAAGTAGGAAAAATCATGGATAAATAAATTTTAAATACTATCTAAAACATACTGTTGTAATTGTGTTCCAAATACTGACCAACCTTTTATGTTGTATAAAGACTATAGGGCAGTTGAACCTCTACTGCTTTAACCAGGCACAGCAATAGCACCTCTTAGTCAAGAGCAACATCCACATTTAAGTGGCTGTGTGTTGCATTTGAGTGGTCTTTTCAGCCAAAGGCAGCTGTTTCTAAAAGAAACATTTAATAGCATGTTCGAAAATGATTTAAGGTGGTGACTAGCATTTAATTTAATGTTGTGTAGTAGCATCTGTCTTGGAAATGTATTTGAGATCATGGCTAGAATGTAACCAGCTAAGTTAAAGCATTGGGGTTAATCTGTTACTGTTGTTAAAAAGCCTGGAAATGAAATGTTGATAATGTTCATTCTAATTGTAATTATTTTTGGACATTTTTGCTGTAGGATGTTCATGAACTCTTAAGGAGGGACTTGTTTCCTGAGTCACCTGATGGCTGGAGTTCCTCAGAAATGTCTTGCTTATTTAAAGCAGGGCCTGTGGCTGCTCAAGTTGTAGGAGCTAAAGGTGCTCAGGCTGCATCAAAAGTCCTTACACAGCACTTCAGCAAGCTTTGAGATAACACAAGGTCCTGGTGGAAGGAGTTAGGAAGGAGTCCACTCTGTTACACCTGTTTTATGTTTGTAAGTGTGGTCATCTAGAACTTGCGGAGATTTTTACTTTGGAGGAGTATAGTGAATATAATGTTCTTACAAGAGGGGAAAAAAACCTCCTGGGATATAACAAAGAGAGAAAAAGCCGCATGTTTGATTGCTCCAAGATTTGTTGGCTCCCAAATGAGTGGAAGGCAAAGCTTGCCAAATCCACTTATCTACAAACTACTATCTGGAGCTCAAACTAGCAATCGTGTTCTTTTGACAGATCTCAATGGCTTGGTATTTATTTCATCTAGAGGAGAAAATAGTCAGCCAGTGCCTTGTTTTCCTGTCGCTTCGGAGCAGGGCTGTGGAGTCAAACATGTTCTCTGCAGTTTGGAAGGAGCCAGCTGGGCATTAGGGCCAGGGAGCTCACGAGGAATTCCAGCCAGCAGCTTGTTGTGTTGCTCGAGGATGTGGCTGTGGCCACGGAACTGGGCGCCTTTTTGGGCACTGCAATTTGACACTGACTCTGAAAAAAAAACATGGCAAATATTTTGCTAAAGGCTTGCAGTTAAAGCACTATTTGTTTTGGATTTGTGTTAATGGAATTTAACCTGCTGGGATACTGTCGGAAATCTGGAAAGTATGCAGACTCTTTTTCAAGAATTAGCTTGCAACCTGTTCCCATTGCTCTCATATTTCTGAGAAAGTGGGTTAAATGGAGGACTCTGGGGAGCTGCAGCAAGCTGTAAGAATAGTTTGGGAAACAAAGAATATCGTTACTCAGGAGAACAGGCTAAGGATTTTGGACACTGTCAATGCTCTGACATGGGGAACTCAAGAGTTCCAGGTTAAGGTGGAGAGATTTGAAGGCAGGGCTCCAGCTGCCTCTTGGTTCTCTTCTCCCTTAGGTGTTCCTCTTGGAGCAAGTGAACTGGAAAACGTGAGCAGACAATGGGAACATGAAGCAGACACAGACTAGACTTGTCTTTTCTCCAAGAAGTAATGATTTAAATGTAGGGCCTCTAAGTCATTTAAAGGTGCAGGGAAGGGACCTGAGTCAAAATATGGGTCCAGGGCCAGCAGCGTTGTTGTTGGCTTCTGTGGTAGTTGAACGTGTTGGAAATGTGTTCAGGTTGGACAAGGCTTGGAGCAACCTGGGATAGTGGAAGGTGTTCCTGCCCATGGCAGGGGGTGGAACAAGATGAGCTTTAATGTCCCCTCCAACCCCAACTATCCTGTGATTCTGTGAAACGAGGGGATGCAGAGCTGAGGTGTCCGTGTACAAGTTCAACCTCGATTCTTTTACAAAGTGATCATCCAGTGTTCTCAGATATTACACAAATTGGTTTCTCTTCTACTTTATTCTATAGCTTTAGTATTCATTGGCATTGTTTCAAAGGCAGAATACACTGATTCTGGGGATTTTTTCTTTGAGGCAGCAAAATTTGTGTTCAGGTTAAGATGCACTCATTCGGTCCTGTGAGTAAGCATTCAACCAAAGTTCTGGAAATCCTCTTAGACTAATTACATTTCATAGTCCTTTAATGCTTTTCCACAGAATTCCCTGGCACGAAGTCCCATTTTCACTCCTAGGCTGCTTTAAATTTCTCTTCCTGCAGGTAGCCCCTGTGACAGAACCAGCTTTTTCAAGTGCTGTAGACAGTGTCTTCAGAGCTTTTTGCTAAGGGAGGTGTATATATGGTTGTAAGGTTATTGCATCTCCCATTGGGTCAGGTCTAAAGGGAGGTGGTGAAAACCCAACTGTCCCATAAAAACAAAGAGTTCCCTGGGTGGATTTTGGCAGAGTTATGGGGGTGGAGTTGTTGAAGGAGAAGAGATACTGAGTCATTGTAAAGGTTTCATCTTTCAGTATCCTGTCCTCTAGAGCAGCTGATGGTGACAGTGCTGGAATGGAGGGAAGGAGTGTGGAGTGGTGTATTTCCAGTCAGTAGAATCCCCTACAAATAAAATTTAGAAAATAATAAACAATGTCCTCATTCTTGTAGTATTTCACCTTCTATTGCTTAATATATCTTATATTCTACTCTCTGTATTGGCATTTTCTTGTTTCTGAAATATTTAGGTACTGTACATTTGCTCTAAATATGAGAGATAAGTTCTTCAGGGACCTCCATGATGGCTGCAAACATTGCAGCTTCTCCTTGCATATCTTTGTTTGTTCTTAGTAAGCTTTCCTCATATTTATACTGTTCTTTATTAATATTAACTTCTGCTAGAATTGTCATTTCTGGAAGTAATTGCTGCTGCAAAGTTGATGAGTTCTAAGAGAATCGGTACTGGAGAGATTCATGAAACAGATCCTGTATCTTTGTCAAGGGAAGAGTTGCTGGTGGGTAGTAGCTTGAATCTCCTAAGGTAGCTGTCCCTGTTCTTGTGTCTTATGCCAGCTCAGGAGTGAGTGTTTGGCTTGCACAGTAATATGTTGCACAGCACTTTTATCTTGGTGGGGATGCTTTTCTTTTTTCATATAAACTCTTAAAGCTATCAGTCACAGTTATTTCTTCCCAAAAGATGGAAGATCATTGAATCTGATATCCTGGAAAGATGTAAGATACTTGGAATCATCCCTGGCACATAGCTGATAGCATTGTGGTGGGTTTTTTTTCTTTAATTAAGTTGTTTATAAAGATGAGAAGCAGTGATAAGCAGCATGAAGAACTGAAACCTCATTCTTTGCACAGATCAAGTACAACACAGCTAGTAATGAAAAGAGGATTTGGAGTGCCAGCTTCTGCACTGTTCCTTCAAAAAGCAGCTGTGTTTCTGATGGGTTTATTTTTTATCTTTTTCCCTTTGAAGTAGTTGCCCAGGAACAACCACATTATTTTACAGAGGTGGTCAGTAGTACATTTCCTTACTGGATAATAGCACAGCAAGAGCTGTGCTTTCTCTGGCAAGGCAGGAGCTTTCAAGGTGTTGATCATTGGTGGCACGCTGCATCTTTACAGCAGCAGCCATGTTCTATCTGTGCGTATTCAGTTTGAAAATGTGTTTCTGAATTGCTTGTCAACCTGTCACCCCTGTTAAAACTGTGAATTCTTTTGCAGATTCCCCCACTGGTAGCAGCCTTGGTACTGATAAAACTGTCCTGAGTGTGATTTATTAAAATCCAAGTGAGATGATGACTGAAATATATACCACAGAAACGTCCAACTTCCTTGGATGAAGATGTTATTCTACTAAGTTTTTGAAAGAAAGTCTTTCTAGTGTCTCCCTATGCACCTGATTTTTCTGTCTCAGTGATTTTTCAAGGGAATGAACTAAAGCTTTAGTGCCGTCTAATTTAGGATCCTTATATTCCTTATTTGTACAAAAGACTTATGTTTCTCTCTTCTTCTTTTTTATTTTCTTCAGGAAATGAACGTTTAGAAAGAGATTTGCCAAATAAAGAAGATGGGAGCAAATAGCAGCAGCATCAGTGAGCTTCCAGAAAACGAGTACTTAAAAAAGTTGTCAGGAGCAGAGCCCATCTCTGAGAATGACCCGTTCTGGAATCAGCTGCTGTCTTTTAGCTTCACCACTCCAACAAACAGGTAAGAAGGGTGCTGAAGAACTAAACTTAGATAATATATTTATAGAAGTGACAAGTCCAAAAGCAAATGAGTGGTTATGTTAATTATTCCTGTTTTAAGTAGCGTAGGAATAAATGCCGGTGTAGAATAGGCTGTTGCTCCTAAGTTTGGAAGTGTTTTCCACCACCTTTTCCATTCATGTGGGTTTCTTTCTTCTTCATGATGGCTGTAATTGCTATTCATTCTCCTGGGAAAGATCTGAAATAGGGTCTGTAGTGTTGGGGGGAAAATGTTTTCTTTTCCTTGTTGTTTTAGGAAGCTTTTTCTTTTTTGTAGCCTCTGGGGTGACTGGACTTGCTGAATATTCCAACTCTTGATGTTTCCTCTCAACTTATAGTGAATTTTATGTCTTCCATGATTTAATTATAGGTTAGCTGTTTAGTTTCTTAGTCTGTATGGCTTTTTTTCACCTTCTTTTGCATTTTAAAAATAAGTTTGGCATGTTGTGTTCGTACAGATGTTTTCTAAATATCTAAAATTCAAACCTTGAACATCTTTTCATTCCAGCAAGTGGTGTGGATATAAATAGAATCAGTATTTTTGAGAGGATCCATAGCACACCTCCAGGAACAGAGAATATAAGTCTTTGTGACTTCTGTTAACCCAACTCCATTGCTAAATTCCTTGGCCTCTGTGTTGATTATCATCCTTACAAGAACAATCTGATATTACTTAACACCTTTAAGTGTTACTTAAACTGCTTTTACCGTTTACAACAGTGACCTGATGCTTTTCTGTGAATAAGTGAAAGTTCAGACAGCTGGAGTGGAAAATGGGTTAAGGTAAATAACTGTGAGGCATTTACTAGGTGCTATTTTTGTGAAGAGTGAGGAGGAAGAAGTGTTTTGGCTTCTACCTGGAGAGAATAGCCAGAGGTTAGGAAGAAGGTGCAGTGCTGTGGAGGGCTGTAAAGCTTGTGAAGGGTCTTTTGTAATTGGGAGTGTGTGAGGGAACAATTGTTTTTCCTCTAAGATCCCCAAAGAGACAAGAATTATTTACGGCCTACCCATGACTAAGAATATGTACAATATTCCAAGTTATATAATACTCTATTGTTTGGGGTTTTTTAGGGGGAAATAGTTATATATAAAACCCCAGCAATTTCTTTGAGTGGTTCTACTGTTTTTCCTTCCTCTGTGGAAGTTAAAGAGTTTTTCATAGTTTGCTTTGCTATTCACAGAATCAGATCCAGCGCAGAGTAAATTTGCTAAAAAATAAACCCCACCCAACTCAACAAAGCAAAAACCTAACTAAACAAAAAAAACCCCAAGCAGTAAATATAATTAAAAAACAAAGCAAAAAACAACAACAAAAAAAATTATCCAAACGCAGGTTGAAAGCTTTAATTAGCTGAACACCAGATGGTGCTCTTGCCTGGCAGCTGGAGGAGAAATATTTTTAGAGGCATCTTTTTCTGCAGCTTAATAATTGGAGGGAAACAGAAATTTCCCGTTAACTTGCACATCTATCTGAGAGAACCATTTGACAAGTGATTTTTGGACTATTTTGGCACCCTCAGCCATTGTCTATATCAGATAACCTTGCCTGCAGGAACGGAACAATAGAGGTCAATATTCATCTCTGAGACTAGAATCTTGCAATTTGTCAAGTTAACTCTGTTTTTAATGAGGCCTGAGTGTAGGTCATACCTTTGTCAGGAGCAAGATGCTGGTTTGTGACTTGTGGAAGGGAGTCAGTTGAATGGGACGGAGTTTTAAAGTTTTCTTCTCTTCTTAAAGTTACTTTTTCTCTTGCAAAATTAGTGACTGTTTGCAAGTGTTATTGGGAGCCATATAAGTGTTGTGGGTTGTTTTTGTGGAGGTAAATGGTGATACTCTAGAGCAAAGGATTTATTTCCTCAAGTTTTTGCAAAGATGGGACTAATATGATCCCCAGGGAGAAGAGGGTTGTCTTTTCTGGATGCTGCTTTGGACGTAATTCTGTTCTACATAGACGGTACCAGAGGGAAAAAGGGGGAGAAATACATGAGAAGAGAAGGCAGTAGGAAAATGCATTTTAGTAGGAAAAGCAATCAACTAAAGCCAAAATATCCAAGGAAAAACCAGCAATGTGGGGAAGTTGCTGGGGTGGGGCTGGGGTAGATTTCCTCCTTTCAGCAGCAGGTGCCTGGCACATTCACCTTGTTGTCAGGAAACCTTGACCACAGCAAGGAACCAGTATCTGCAAGGGAGACATCTAACAGGAATCTGAATTGGTATAAGTGAAGTTTGTAGGGTTTCTAACACTTTTCCACGTTTGCTTTCTCTAGGGAGGGACGTGTGACTAGTGCTTTGCTTTACAGGAGCTGTTCCAAGTTAGTCCAGGTACTGCTGGTCCCAGGTGACAAACTGAGCTGGATCTTCTGAGGAACAATAGTTTTTTAATCTTCGAAATCAGAAGCCTAGGGCTTGGCTTGAGAGATGGGGAATTACTGTCTTTCTGCTCTGAGAAACACAAGGACATGATACTGTATCTTGTATTATAATGGCACCTCTCTCTGTGATCTGCTGTCTGTCTTCATTTTTGTTTTGCTGTGCTTGTCTTGGCACTTTTGTACTCTCTTCTGTGTCCTTATTTTGCTTTTCCCTCTTTTCCCTTTCAGTTTGGTTATGTTCTTCCTCTATTCATCCTTTTCTCATCTTCCTGGTTCTCTCCTTTGGTTTCTCTCCCCAGCCCTATGTGTCTTAATCTCTCTTTTTGTGATTTCACATACAGTTCTTTAGCATTGCTCATTTCCTCAGCCATGCCTTCTTTACTGGGTTTATTTTTTCAGTCCTGTTAACTTCTTGAACTGTTCCTGTGAAGAACACGAGGTAGTTTTCTCTGGGGAATAAAGTTTGCCAAATACCAGCGCTGCTGACTGCGAAGTCACTGTGTCTCTGTCAGCATCACTGATGCAAGATGCTCTTGCCCTTTCACTATCTCTTCCAGTGTTTATCTGGTTCTCTTGTGGGTTTAATCAGGAACTAATCTGTCTGAAAAATAACACGGCCAAAAAAATGTGTTTGTTTTTTCAGCCAAGTTAATTCCCTAGAGTGATTCATACCTTGGCGCCACAAAACAATTCTGGCATAGTGAGGGATTGATTTTTTGGGGGGGAGGCACAGCAGACTGTTGGGCTGAAGGGTGAGATTGCTTAAAACTGCTGTTTTAACCATCCAAAAATGAGTGGGAAAGCATGTGGTCAAAGCAGAGCTGGCTGGTAGGAGTGTAACATTCTGCTTTTCTGGGCTGTTTGTTCTTCCTCGAGTAATGTTGATTTTCTTAATAATTAGGCAAGTATTAAGAGGAAATATTATGTGTAACATTCTGTTCTGTGTATTCACAAACCCTGATTGTGAATCAGCTGTCAGTAATCAGCAATGAGCTGATGGTGAATCCCTGTGACTCCCCTGCCAGGAGTGATGGTAACAGCCAGAGCCAGCCTCAGCTATTTGGCGGGTAAGGGAGTCCACTGGGGCCTTTCACAGTCTAGGAGTGGTAGGAGATAAGTGGTACATACATAAGTGATAGTAAAAGGGAAAGTTACCAGCAGTTTAGTTTTAGGTTGCCTCATGCTTTCTGCTGTAAAAGGTTTATTGTGATATCATCTGACAGAAGTTTCTGCTGAGAAATTTCTGGTTTCAGCCATTTGGAAGTACTTGGTGCTCCAATTTCACACTCCTGCATGTTCTTATTTTTTTTTTTCCCCCTTCACGGGTCTTTAGTTGTTGCACAGAATGGACTCCTGGGAGCTGAATTAAAATTGTATAAAACCTCTTTAAATCTTCCACTTCTACCTTTCAAGTGGTTGACTTATCAATCTGAATGATGTTTGGATATTGGAAAAACAAAATACAGCTTTTCTGGATGACTCTTCTAGTTATTGTTACGATGAAGAGCTGTGAAGTTTACTTTGGAGCCTTAGCTCTCAGTCTAGGCAGACCTTGTGTTTGTCTGGCTCTCCTATGAGTTGCTACCAAGAATGCAACCTCCTCCTTAGCAGTGGTATTAGTTACAATTATTTTCTGATGGAAAACTTACAAGTTAACTAAAGCAGAACTTGCTGAAAATCATGTGCTTAATATTTACTGTTCAGCTTTGTTCCTTCCCTGGAGTTATTAATGAGTTGCTGGTTCAGGAATAGTGTGCATGGGCCTTTAGTGGAAAGACATAAAAATGAGCAGCTTTTATGTTGCCTTAACGTGGTACATTTTTAAAGTGGTACAATAAATCATATGCAGCCTTATGTTCTTTGATGTCTTTCCTCCAACTAGTCCATTAAAATCAGCATTCCCACAGTATGAATTGACTAAATGGGCTGATTCTTCTGTTTTGTATTCAATGGCAAAGAAAAAAGGCCTTAGTATGAGGAAAAACAGTCAGGAAAGCTGCTCCTTTGGGGTTTTTTTCTGCCTCCTTTTTTAGAGGGGGTGGTTGTCTGCTTTGGTTTGGGTCTTTTTCTTACCGTACCAAGGGCAGGTGTCCTGGTATGGATATGTTTGTAATTACAGTTTGTATGCAGAATGTTTCCTCTTGCCATGTTGAGACACTTTAACAAAAGTCACTGCCACTTTGAAACCTCTTGTATGGTGATGCTGTTAAAATAAAAGGGGATAAGACCACGTTCTTCGAAGTTCACTGCTGTCAGGAAGCAACTTTTGCTGCCTCCTAGTACTTGTGGTTTTGTTCAAGTCTGTGGGACTGATTGATAATAAATTTATAGTAAGGCAACTGAATTCAGCTGCTCTAAAATAATCCTCTTTATAACACTACTGGGTTTTTTTCCTTCTGTTTTTTTTTTCCCCTCTTCTCTTTGGAAATAATGTTTTTTTACAGTATATGCCATAATAGCTGACCGCAGAATCCGGCTGTCTGGTAGTTTGAAGCCAGAAATAAAAGTCTGCAGTCAATGAAAACGATGAAATCTTTTTTGACTGGCAGACTGCTCGATTTACCATTCTTTCCCACCTCCACCGAGG